TATTTCTGATAGGTACTTATTTTTTTTCACTCTTCCCACCCCTTCCTCCCCACTTCTGTGATCACATCTTCTGCCAAACTTCGAAGTGAAGGTTCGGTAGAGGAGTATAGAGGAAGTCACGTGCATCACATGAGCATATCATACTACTATTGGTTAAGAGGTGACACATGTTGATTTACATGAGAGACATGTTGAGGGAGCAGAAGGCTTGTGGCATGCGTAAAGAAAGAGTTTGCATATAGATGGCAGCACTGAAGAAGAATAGCTAATCTTGTGAGACGAGGTAGCTATCAGAAATACATTTTCAGTATAGGAAAATTATAACATCACATAATTCTTTAATTTTGATCTTTTCTTTCCATAGACAAAGCATAACTAGAAGTTATAATAAGTATAGAATAAATTCCTTACTTGGGTGTACATATACAGATAGATCTTTCTGAAGTTTAAGTAGTCTGTTGTACCTACTTAAGCTAGTTTAGCATAACTATGTCTGTTATTAGAGATTGCTAGGTATAGTTGTTTTACTAGTATTGTCATTGCCAAATTGCTACCCATTGCTATAGGTAAATTCTCCATTCTATACTATATAAATAAACTATTTGTTGATTTTAATGGAATTTCAGTATATATATCCTTTTTTCAGTCACTTCCTTACTGACAAATAACCATGAATAATATAAATAAATTTGTTCAGAATTGGTGAGTAATGCAAATTGTAGTTATGAAGGTAATTTATTTTCAGTACTTTCTTAAGTCTGTCAAGGGGTAAGAAGTCTGGTCGTTGTCTTTTATTTTTCTGTGGTTGACCTTCTAATGTTGCAAATAAAGAGAAGTGACTACAATGTCATCACTAGTTTCCGAGATAGAAAAACAAAATAATATTATGTAATACTAATTATATAAAAATACATCTATTAATATAGCTTGTGTGTGTGTCCTATGTTGTAAATTAATGTCTTATCTAAAATTAGTAAGATGGTAGATTCAATTTATATCGTTATCTATTTTACTGGGAGAGAACTGAAATCCACAGCAATGTGTATTTGAAAAGAACGATACTTTATCTTCTTTTACATGTTTCAGGACCAGTAAATGTGGGTACACAGACAAGAGTAATTTGTAAAACATCGACATAGAATAAAAGATTGGAAGGTTTTCAGTGCATAATTTCATACATGAACCCTGAAGGCATTAATTTTTATACAGGGCTGGAAAAGTATAGCAACGTATAGCTTGTTCTGCAAACACAAGCTCATTCTTTTGCATACTTTTATGGGTTTATAATCAGTTGTGAAGATCAATTTTTCATCATTTTGATCAAGCTGCAGAAACACAAAACCCATTTTGAAATTAGTGGTATATTTGGTATAACCTTCAATTGTGTGACAAATATATTTGCGCATAAATTACTTTCATGTACCATGAGCGGTGCCAAATAAACTGGTGGCCTTGACAAGAATTGGTATGTTCTCAATAACCAATGAATTATTGATGGAACTGGATGCTCTTTCATGAAACCGAAACAACCAACTGGACAATGTACAGGAATAATGTTAAAGTTTTTGTTGGATATACACCAGAAGGTCTGATAATATTTGTATCTGATGCTTATTGTGACTGTGCAAGTAATATTCAAGTAATTGAAAGAAGTGCTCAACCTGATCTGTGTGATCCTGGAGATTCCATAATGCTAGGCATGGGTTTTAATGTCCAGGACATGTATCAAATTAAAGTACAGAGTAATATTCCTTCCTTTTCTTTCCAAGAAAAATAAACTTTCTGGTGGAACAGTTTCAAATGATAGAAAAACTACTACAAGTTTGTACATATAGAAAGAATGATTGTCTCAGGTACAAGTTATAAAATTTTTACTGCACCAATGGATAATTGTGAGTCAGAACTTGCCACTGAAATATGAACATTATGCTATATGTTGTGTAATTTCAGACAGTGTATTGTACCAAAAATGTGCATAAAATTTGATTGATAAACAACTTTGTAAAACAGAAGTACTGGGTGTAATTTTCATGTGCCTTTCTGAACTATGGTACTTTAAAAATATTACAAATAACTTGTCTTCTTTTAACTATTTTGGTGCTGAATAGAAATTTAATACTGATGTCACAGCTCTAGTAACATAATGCAATAATATAACAATCCCAATTCATAACTTTTGAACTACACAATGTATGATTTGTAAACAATTATGTAAGCAAACTTGCAATAAACTATTACTTTTAAAATTAACTGCATTTGACACTCGTGCTATATAACTGTCTAAATCATAGCTCTTGCATTAAACTTAAATAGAAACAGTTATGTATATATAAAAATAAGCCCCTCTTCGATAAATAAATTTACAATATTTTTTTAGACTATATATAAAGATTATTTTCAGTTGATGCACAAAGTCTACTCATACAGTTTGCACCAACATTTGCTATCCCCTTTAATGTGGAACTGGTAGTTCTGGAGGTCCAACACCCACCTCATGATCCTTGCACTGTCGATTTTTCATATCTTTCTGGTGTCACAAAGGCTGTTTCCATCGTGAACTGCCAACCTTTACTGGGGTCAATCTTGGTAAAGAACTGCGTCATGAGATTCAGCTTCCAGAAATCTGTGTAGAATCAGTTGGAGCTGTCCCTCTTCTTCACGATTACCACTAGTGAATAGTAGGCTGGATTTGAAAGCTTGACTTCTTGCTTTATTAGGACTTTCATTGCATAGTGCATCTGGTAGGTTCACCTTGACTGAATTCCTGGTCATGGCTCAATCTTGTGTTGCACAAAGTCTGTCTTGCTTGGTCTGTCTATGTAGACATCTGTATGTTGGCACAGTAGATTTTGTAGCTTTCTCTTCTGCTTGCTAGTCAGTTCTTCAGTGATGATATCTTAGGTTCAGTAGGGTTTCATCTTCTATGATGAAGACACCATCTTTTGGTTCTGCATCTATGACAGCCACATCTGCAATGTCCATCTGGCTCTCAATAGCTACACCTGCTAGGTCTTCTTCCTTCTCAAAGTACCTCTTAAACAGATTTGCATGCTAGATTTTCATCTTCCCATCCACTTTCACCTTATAGTCTATTCTGTTGACCACTTTCTGCACATCAAAAGGTCATTTTCACATGGTGAGTTTGTTGTTGTTTATGAGTAACAGAACCAAGACTTTCTGTACAACTTTGAAACGTCGATACTTGGTCTTCTTGTTGTAGAAGTGCTTCTGACTGCATACAGACTTTCTTGATTGAGTTGACAGGTCTCCTCCAGTCTGTTTCTGTTTCTCACTCCAGAATCTTGTTCTCCTGTCAACAGTTCTTTCAATATCTGCATCAAACTTCACATTCTTCTTCCATACAGTAACTAGATAGATGAAAATCCTGTACACGTTTGTGGTACTTGTAGGTAAGCAAATCATACTGCCTGCAGGAACCTGTCTCAATCATGTGGTCTTTCTTGGCACATCTTCTTCTGCATGCTTTTTAAGACTTTGTTGACTCTCTCACAAAGTCCATTACACCTGGGTTTGTATGGGGTGGTAAAGAGCTGTCTGGTGCTGAAAAATCTGCACACTTCTTACATCAGTTCTGATGTAAAGTGAGTCTTTTGAAAAGCCTACTCTGTAGAAGACTTTTAGGAGGGCTTCTGCTACTCCATCTATATCATTGTCAGTGCTATGGCTTTTGGGTAATGTGTTGCACAGTTGGTTACTGTTAGCATGTACCAGTTGTCCTTGTCAGATGCAGGTGCTAGTGGTCCAATCAAGTCCACAGCTACTTTGCTGAATGGTTCTTGTATGAGAAGCATCTGACCCAGTGGCACCTTGGCCATTTTCCCTGTAGATACTGTCCTTCGGCAGATATCACATGATCTGCAGAATCTGGGGGTCATCTGTGATGACCCCCAGTCAATAGAAGTTACTGGTGATTCTGTCTGTCATTTTTTTTCTGTTCCTAGGTATCTTCTCACAATTGATTTACGAGCCAACTTCATCACTTGAGTCTGGTATTCTGTTTGTAATATTCTCTTTAACTTCCCCAGTAGAACTGCCTTGATAGATCCGGTACAGCACTCCCTTCTGGTCCTAATTTCTGTATATCCTTTTCTTTTTGTCTTGTGCTTGATTTTCTCCCAGACACTGTCACAAAGTTTCTGCAGTGAAGTGTCTTTCTTCTATGCTTCCATCAGTTCTTTGTAGACCTACATTCTGGATGTTACCTTCTGATACTTGCAGGGGCTTCATGTATTGCTTACTTTTTTTTTCTTGAGCTCTTGTGGTGACTACAGAATCCTCATCAATCTCCTTTCTATCTTGTTCTTGCAAACTTTTACTGTCTGGTATGTTGCTGATTACCAAGTCATATATTGGTGCCTTCATACATATGGCCTCAAGGTCTCCCATATATTGTGGAGTGTCCATTTTTATTCTTGCTGTGGAAAAGTTTTTCATTGTTTTATCAGTCAGCACACACAGATGTGCCTCGCCATCATCTGGTCATCAGATACTAGACTGATTCGTACTTCTGCACCCATTGGACTTTCATTTTCTTGTTCTATAATCTGGTAAAGGAAAACAGTAGTCATATTCATCATGGTGGAAAAATATGACAGAATATAGCCTGAGTGTTAGATTTTTGGCACAAGGTTTTACAATAGTTATATTTTCAAGAACTCTATAAATCATACTTATAGAAGAAGATTTGTTTTTAATACTATAACATGAATAAAAAAAAAAAATTGCATTATCTCACACAGAGAATACTTACGATGAAACTGGTCTGTTCTTTTGGAAGTCATCAGTTTCTTTGTTTTTCTCTATTTTTGAAACTTATGGATTTATAACATGAAATGTTAAATCATAGTTTATGCAAATAATTGCCCAAAATTTTTCTGTGGCCATATTTTAATGTTTATTAATGTTTTTTTAGTGTTTATGATCTGTAGTACTGTATTTCACTTATGTGCATTAATATTTGTATATTTAATTCTTTTCAGTGTTCCCATGCATCTGTTCTTGCCTACAGACAAACCCAGCAAAGGAATGCTGAACTTTTGAAAGAATGGGAAATGTCGGGCCAGAGGAAGGTAGTTGTGAAAGTGGATGATGAGATGACCTTGTAAGTTAAAGATGTACATGTATTAAGTACAAGAGCACTGGTGGGTCCAGTATTTTCAGAAGTGGGGGGGGGGGACTTAATGTGCAGCCAGGGATCAAGAGGACCTCTTTTAAGTGAGAAGAGTACAAAAAGTGACAATCAAAAATATTGCAACAGTTGAAATATAGTAGAAAATAATTAAATACATGGTAGGCTTACATAAATAACCTGAAAAAAAAAATTACATTGTCTCACATGGAGGATATAATGAAACTGCAGTCTGCATAAACATTGTGTACAAGTTATCTTTTTTGCCATTCTGTTCCAATATATATAGCAATTTTGAGCACAATTGTCAGGTGCTGCAGTTTTGGGCCCTGACCTTTGGACCAGCATTGGCACAATATGTGTTCTGCCAAATTGTTTGAGTTTTTTCTCATCACCTCCTTTCCCCTGTGCAAACACCATTACATGGACAACTGGTTACTGTTGGCACCATCTCTTCGATTAGCAGAACATCACACCTAGATTTTACTTTCAGAATTAACCAAGCGAGGCTTCATTTTCAAAGCTGAGACATTTATTCGAGCTCCAACACTTTGTCCAGAGATCCATCTCTTTGTGGATGCTTCACTTCAGGGATGGGGTGCAAATCTCAACGGTCAGGAATTCCAGACCTCTCTACACAATGTTTTAGACCTTCTTGCTGTTCAAAAGGTGATGTCTCATAGCCTGGATTTATTAAGGGGAAAATAGGCTTCACTCCAACAATTCCAAAATGTTGTCTTGCATTTCCTGTCAAGGGGCACTTGGTCCAGGGCTCATTGTTTCTGAACCTTGGATCTTCTTTCTATGGACCACTCCTATCATATTACCCTACTAGATTGCCATGTTCCACAGGTGATGACTTCGGTGGTAGATCAATTGTCTTGAACCAAACAGATTTTCCAGACAGAATAGATACTGTATCACAAGGTTTTCTGTTGAATTGGCTCTCATTTTGAAACACTGATGTTGGTGTGTTGGACATTCATTAGCACACCCAACTACTGGCAATTTGGTTTCCAGTACCTAACATTTGGGCTTTGGCAATAGATGCATTCTGTCAGCACAGGATTTGATTACAACTGTAGGCCTTCCCACCTACTTGTATGTTATCCAAGGTACTAGCTATGGTTCGTTCTAACCCATTGTTGGGCCTTGTTGATAGCACTGGACAGGCAGCTAAATCCTGGTTTCTGCTTTTACAGTACCTTCAGGAGTGCCTACCTCTTCCACTTCCTGTTTAGCCATCTCTGTGGAGGCAGCCATGATCTAACATCCTACACCCGGCCATCCAGAAACTCAAATTTCAGGCATGGAGTTTATGCAGTCCTTCGTATGGGATTAGGGTTTAATTTCTAAGGTTGCCATGTATCTGTCTCAGTCTTTGCTTAGTCCCACAATGGACATTTATCAATGGAAATGGCACACATATCAGCAATGGTGTATTGAGAGGAGGTTGAACCCACTTTATCCAGAAGTGCCAACCATAGCTCATTTTTTGACCTGTTTTTTTCACATGGGTTTTGCATCTTCTACAGTCGCCTTATTTACGGTGGCCTTATCGACTACTTCTAGATACTTGAGACAAAAATTATTTGAGTCCATAGTATTTTCCAGCCTCCAAGTAGTTTCAAGTCCTTTGTCCCAAATGACCGCTTCAGTTACCTAACTGGTATATTAAGTTGGTATTACATGCTCTTTCTCAACATCTGTTTCAGACCTTAGCCTTATGTACCATGTATCACCTTTCCCTTTAGGTTTAATTTTTTGTAGCTGCTGACCTACAGATGTTGCTGGTTGGAATGGTTTGCATTGATTGTGCACAGGATACTTTATCATTCTACCTACATCCTCAGACCGGTTCTTCTTCTCTAAGACACTGGCAGAAAGGGATGGGGATAAATCCTTTTCATCGAGACATCTGATCGCTATTTCTCACTTCTATGACTGATTGGTTCTCGATCACCTGTTACGTCCAGTGAGGATCTTGAAGGTTTTGTTGCCCGCACTAATGCCTTTACAGATGCCAGACAATGACTATTCCTTGGGATCATTCAGTTTTCCAGGACTTATCCCCAGTTGCATTGATAAGGTGGGTATGAAATTAATCCATATCACTTATTCTGGGCTCTCCTTGAGGCGAGGAGACTTTAGTGAGTCATGTTTCATCAGATTCATCACATTTATATGCCCTTAGTGACCTGGTTGAATTGCCCACTGGAGGACATTGTGCTGGCTGGTTTGTGGACCTCCCCCAATACTTTTATCTCACATTATTTTCAACTAACCCATGTACCTATCTTAACCACATCTGCTAGATTATACAGAGGGATGAGTATTTTCATTGCTACTCTTGTTTATCTTTCAGGGTCCCTTACCTCATTTTCACAGGATCTCACTCTGTGGCAAGTGTTACCCAGGCAGGTGTGCTTTATCAAACCAGTTCTGCACTAGCAACCACTAATTCAACATACTCTATCTAGCTTGTTTAAAACCTCAATACTTTCCCATTTTACCCTTTACTACATCACACTCCTACCTGCTAGCATAAGGTCTGGGGTACCTTCCATAGCCATGCTTTTACTTCCCATCTTATTGTCCTTTAGAAGGATAGAGCTTAAGCATGATGAATCAAGTGCCATTATGAATCACCAAATGAGTTTGGGGGGGACATGGTATTTTAATTCCTCTAACTGCTCCCCTGAATACCATGAACTGAAAGTTTCATTTTAGATTTCAATCTGATGGCCTGTTTAGATCACTAGCCTATAGCTTCTTAAAGCTAAAATATAGGTTGGTAAATCATATCATGACAACCAAGATTGCAAAACAGTGATTGACTATAACTAATAGAACTAGTATAATAGTTATAAGGTCTAAACTGGATCTGTATTCTTGAAAACTATTTCGATTATCCTTCTAGGGATTATAAGTGCCCTATTATCATCAGAAAAAAACTGGAGAAATTCACAATACTAATGTTTTTGTGTGAAGCATGCTAAAATCAATCAAGAATCAAAACTTGAGATTTAAAAATATTTTTGTATACAAAATTAAGTACATAAAACCTTTAACTGAATGAATTTCAGCCGAGAAGTGTTTAAAAAGAAATGTGTGAAAGAACAATTTTAAGTTTATTTTGAACATTTTTAATTCAATGGCATAATATAGCTATCACAAATCTTGGATGCTTTTCTCTGTGTTTATGACCTAGGAAAGTTATATGATACCACATGGTAGTATGGTTGGGTGGACATTTACCCACTTTTATCTAACTTATTAAAGGAAAGGTCTTTCAAGTTACATGTCAGGTCAACACTTTCACCACCTTTCACATGGAATTTCAGCATTAAAGTCAATATTTTGACTGCCACATTTCATTTTCCTTTTAAGTTAATCCTATTGCATACAGAACAACTTTTCTGTCAGTTACAAACTGTCTCTGTGCTGAGGATTTTCATATTACCTTTCAACCATCAAATGTTGAGAAGCAGCTTCAAACCACTTTTATTCGGAAATGCATGCTTTTGGATGTGTTTTTACAACCTGACCTTGACCTCCATCTATAAGTTACTCTATTTCTTTGGTGATGGAAACAGTTACTTTGGACCCTTTGTTAACAGTTAGATGACTTTTAATCCCCACATAAAGTAACTAAAAGGGAAGTGTACATGAGCAACAAATATTCTGATGGTTGTATCTTCAACATTCTAGGGAGCAGACAGGTGTTCATTGTTCTTGATTTATCATTCCCATCCCACTTGAGGTGGATTCCTGTGTATGGTGAGGGGACCTCCCAGAGGGGAGGGTTCTGTATTTTCAGTTTACCTCTTGTGGGATCTGAACATCCACCCACCTTTTTGCCGTGCATGACAATCCATAAAGGGGAGGAGAGGATCTTGGTGGTTGAGGGGTGTTAGTGGCACTTTATCACATCACTTTGGCCTTGAATTCCTGTAGATGGGTGACCTTGGGGTCAGTTGGTTGGTTCTGTTGGGCTAGGATCGACTAATTACTAGTGTTTGGCATTCTCAACAGATGTTGTGGACATTGTCTAATGCTGGTGTTTGGCTATAGTGCTCACAAATACCTGGTGTGGCTACAATGTCCTTGTTTGGCATTATAGTGTGTCCCCTTGTAGGACTCCACGGTGTGTAGAGTCAATGGGCACTGAATAATTTTCTTATGGATCCCCCAATTTCTGAAAAAAAACGAATGAAAAACAGTTAATATGTAAGCAACCACATTTAGAAGACTGAACAGCAGTCTCCACCCCATTCTGCATCTATACCTAGTTATTTCATCTTGCATTCTTTATCAGACAAACCTTTAGGGCAAATGCCTCCCTTTTTTTTATCCAGAAAAGATTAGATGGGCTTCCTGGCTCTCCAAAGTCAGTGAAGAAGCTGTGTTCTGGGGATATTTTGGTGGAAACATCTGCACCAGAGCACAGTGAACTCCTCTTGAATTCGAAGGCCATTGGGGATATACCTATTGAGGTTACTCCCCATGCTACTTTGAATTCCTCCTGAGGAGTGATTGTTGAGAGGGGTTTACGAAGCATCCCCAAGTTGGAGATCTTTACTAGTTTCTCCAGCCAAGGATTTTTTGCTGTGTGACTTATCTTCAATCATAAAAAAGGAATTATACTGCCAACTAATGTTCTTGTATTGACGTTTACATTGCTATGTCCACCTGCCACTGTCAAGGCAGGTTATCTGAACTGTAAGAGACAGCCTTATATTCCTAACCATCTCAGGTGTTTCCAGTGTCAGCGGTTTGGACATTCAAAGGTATTTTGTCGTAGTTCTTTGACATGTTCTAGTTGTGGTGGCAAAGACCATGATGCCTACCAGTGCCAACTAGACCCTCAGTGCGTCAATTGCAGTGGTTCTCATCCCTCTTACTTACAGTCTTGCCCTAAGTAAGTAGAAGAAAAAGAGGTACAATGTTTAAATACTGTAAATAACATTTCT